CCAATATAAATCAATGAAAAAAATTTGTTTTGTTTTTATAGATTTTATTTTATTAATCATTTTTTATACATAGTTCTTTTTATTGATGAGAAAAATGTACAACTACCGTAAAATATAAATACATGAACATAATTAAAATTCTAACTAGTAAAAATAGAACTAATAGATAAATTTCTAACCATTGCTGAGATAAAAACCATCTCTATGTACAATAATAGTAACAAGCAACATATATTACAAAATCAATAAAAGTATCAGATATAAAAATAAGTTGATAATTAGAAGTAAATTTTGTAAAGTATAAAATATAATATTAATGCGGTGAGAAAATAATATTTTTTAATATTTATTTATTTATTCAAGTCATCAATACATGAAGATTTTTATTATATCAAAGCTCTTGTTACTTGCTAAACTAAACTAAAAGGAAATTTTAAAAATATTATTTCATGAACAAGAAAATTATTTATATTCAAAATTAATAGTACGAAGTTATTTATATGGATATTGATGTAAAATCTAATTCAAATCTAAATAAATTTCTTTAATTATTTAATCAAATATGAGTACAATTTTATAGCAAAAAAATTCCAAACGGTGTTATGTTATTCACTTATTTAGTATTTTTCCTATTTTTTTCATATTTTTTTAAAATGTGTTTATTTCCCGCTACAACGGAAAATCTCATTAATAATAACACGACAATCAAACAATGAGCAACGAAATGTGCAATTCATCAACAAACGTTCGCACCTAACATTTTGACACCGATGATGCGATGCATTCCATTTTGCAATAAGTCATGGGAACACGAACGTAGCCTCCAAACGTGCACATACACACGAACATGTGGCGCTTTGGTATAAAATAAACTCTGAATAGTTTGAAGCTGTCGAAGGACACGAATTATGACACGGCAGTTCGAGGAGAATTGCCCGGAAAATTCTTGTTATATTGATGAAAAGGATAGTATTACGCCGATTATTTTCTTTTTTTTCGTACGCCGCCATTTATAAGTTTGTGAAGTTTTCTTCGCCAACTTCTTTTCTGCGTTTATTTATGGGAGTTGTGCGGAGAAAGACTTGGATTTAATATTTAAACACTTACAACGTTAATTTAGTAATAATATTTTTACGCTTTTCGTCGGTAGTAAATTGTTAAAAATCTATTTACAATTTAATTTTGAATTCTCACACACTTCAACCAGTTAATTGTGTCGCTCATTTTGAACTGTAGTACACTTTTGAATCGTCCAAATGGAGCTTATGGCGAGTATATTCGTCAATCACAGAGTAAGTTAGGTATGTAAGATGTCAAATGAAAAAGATGGGTTTGTTTTACGAAATTGATAAATGAAACTAAAAACGGATTAAATTTAATGACACAAGTAAATGTAAGAAAGTAAGAATAATCGGGAAGTTCGTGGAATTTGCCTTAAGGTAGACTTATTTTGGCTTGATTCAATTTGACATTTAAGAATTTCTTTTTCAAAATTGTCAGTTTAAATAGCAAATGGTTACAGTTTTTTACATATGACGAATATACTCGTCAATACATAAAAATTTTCACTTCTTTATGACGAGCATTTTAGTCAATCACAGTTAACTCGTGAAATCCAAATGTTTAGCCAAATCATGTTTTATTTTTATTCTTTTTCCATTCCATTTTTGAATGATACACTTTCGAATTTATTATTAAACCGAAATCTATCATTTATCAGCGCCTACATTTCCATGTTCCTCCCAGACTATAACAACATCGAACGATGTATCGATAAATCAATCGTTCGGCTAATCTAATAACATCGACGCGGGTTCAATTCCTAGTAGACATGAATTTTCCGTTTGTTAAGATAAGTGTGCGTTTCTTGCTGTCCCGTGCTTTATTCGCTCCATGTACTCTCTCTGAGTAAGGGCTTCCTCCTAATTGCCATATAATTGTATTTATGACACCCCCAAATACCGCACGATCGAAACAAGAGAATTAGATGAATATAAAGATACATTTGACACAAACGCACGTTCAGAATGATATGAAAATTCTAAAAAACGCAGAAATAGCAAATCTCATTTTCTCATTGAGCTATTAATTTCAGGAAATTACAAGGTCAAAGGTAATTAATAATAGGGTCCAATTTGACTTTGAGCGATTATATTTTGAAAACCAAATCAATTATCACGACAAATAACACATCAAACTATCTGAAAAAATTACTTTTTTAACTTATTTATCATATTACTTTTTTTACACCTTTGCCAGGGTAAAGATTCAAATGGTTCTTTTACGACCTTTAAGCCCCGCTCTATTCTACTTTATTTTTCATAAACAACAATTATCATAAAAATTCATAAATATTTAATGTTTTAACTCAATAAAATTTTGGGCAATAATTATCATTAACTATATAAATAAAATATTAACATCAAATATATAATGTTTTTCAGTTCTTGTTCCATGTTTCGGTTTATATCTTCTGCATCCGTAGAGATAAAATGATTTATGATACCAGTTTGCACACATTTCAGAATTGATTTATACGTGTATATTCATATTTTTTATAAGCCCAAGAATATAAGATATTTGCGTAAATCAGTATTAAAGTTTTGTGAATAAAGTGAACTTGTAATGCTATAGAAATGCATATTAAAATTTTGCAAACCAGTTGTACAACTTAATTTGGAAGTCTTGTTGGTTTAGATGCGATTTGACTAATGAAATTGTCAATGAAATCATAATTTTGTTTAAATGAAGATATTCCACATTTGAATAACTTTCTCGTTCAATAGGTGATGTAATAAATTTAAATATTACATTTGCTTCTATTTATTGAAATTTGATTCTATTGCATTTTGCCAATAACGACCCAATGGATATAATCAAATATCTGATTGCTGATTGTTACGAATCGAATTCGCACAGTTGGGCGGACGAACTCACAAACCACCAAACACAATCAAAAATCCGAAACTCGTTTACTAACGCCCTCGTTAATGTATCCAGACGTGTTCTTATATTTATTGGCTTAGTTTATTTTGCACCACCCCCGAGTTTAAGTATATAAGGGCATCACCCTTGCTTTTATTCGATTGTACGAGTATGTATAAAAAAGTTAGGGTTTAAGCTATCGAATGGTTGGAGGACAACTTCTATTTTCTCTAACGTGTCGCCCTTCCGTTTCGTATCTATTGTTTGCAAAAGGTTACTTTGTTCACTTCATGTGTATTTAATCACATTAAACAAGTAATGACGTTGACTACTGTTCAAAAGAAAGTTTTTTAATGAATTGGTTCGATTTTGTAAGTCTGGTTTAATGTCACAAATTCCATTCCTATATGTGTTAATGAGATTCATGGACAATAATTTAGACATTCTCATGAAATTGATAATTTGCGTGAAAGAGTTAAATTGTAAGTAATTTGTGTAAAATTTCGTTGCTCTTGAGGGCTTATGTTGTTCACATGCAATCACTCCTTTGGGTGAGTTCGGCAATCGCCATCTTAATTTGGCATCGAAAATTGCATTGCAATGAAAAAAACGAGAGAGACGAAGCACAAGAAACAACGGCTCGATCTTTGCAAAAAACGAAACTCACGAAAGGCAAAGGAAGACATGAAGCGATCAACGGCGATCATTTATATTGCATTTTCGTGCGACTATAAACGAGCACTTAATTAAGATGTTATGCCCTCGGGCCATCAACTTCGTAAATATGGCCGTTACTTTCCTTCAGAATTCGGCTTTCGTCTCGTCGCGATGGCCGAACCTCACTCACGCTAAGATCTTGCTGTCTTTCAGGAAAATGCCAATTATCTTGTATATATGTTAATAATTTGATGGGTTTATTTAAAATTAGTTAAGTTTTTGTAAAACGAAATCTTGGGTTGTCCTTGGACGCGAACGATCATTTAATTATGGAGATAACTGATACATGAATAATGTTTATATGCGAAAGAAATAATTGAGTTTAATTCGGCTTGTTATGAATTTAAAGAGTTCCTGGCTAATTAGATCTCTGCACGCTAAACGATTAGCACATGATATTTTCATGAATATTAGATATTTGCTAAAGATAACTATGTACTCTGTAAATCTACAAAAAGAGTTTGAAAACAATTTTTAAATAATGAAGTAAATCGAGAGCATGCTTTGTAAATGCCTATAGGCAGTTCCTATGTAGCACCTCGTGTTTTGGTTGCGAGTTCGGGATTGTTATGTGGTCATATATGTAGAATGTACAATGCCGCGACATGATATATTATTCGATTCTTCGCCATGGGAGATTCCGCAAATGCTTTGCATCGTTCGGATCAAATACTGACTCGGCATTAACTCAATATCTATATCACCGATGTCCGTTAATAAACCAGTCTGCAAATTCAATATATTCATGTGATGACTGTTTTATTAATTTCATTTTACATTTGAATTGTACTATCCATATCATTCAAATTAAAAATGTAAACTTGTGGTGCATGGCTTTGTGCTTTAAGGCAATTTTCTGGAACTTTCCGTACTGTAATTTAAAAATTTTTTTAACTATTTTTGTTGGATCTGCAAAACTGTTGGACCAGTCTTCGCAAACATTTAATCAATTCTTCATTTCTTCAATATTTTGAATCATCCAAATTGAACGCTCCGTTTTTTTTTTTTCAAAAACTGAATCGCCATTTCTTCGAAACGACTAGTTCTGCCTTTGCCAAAAACTAATCAGCACATCTCCCTGTCAATAAAAATCGATTCTAAGTTATTCCAAAATCTGAAACATAAAGATATATAAAAATTTTTGTTTTAGATTTTTTGAGATTACTATAGCCCTACGGGAAGTTCAAAAAAACATACACATTTGCAATAACTTAAAAACTACTTGAGACATATCTGGATGTTACTTTAATAAGCAATCTAAAGAAATATGAAATGTTTGAATCTAATTTAATTTTAGCTAATTATAATAATGTATTCAGTAATATCTGAACCATGTCATTAATAAATCAATTCTATCATTTCCAGGTGCAAATGGACTTCGGCGGAGAGGCAGACAGACGTATACACGTTACCAAACCCTCGAATTGGAGAAGGAATTCCACACGAATCACTACCTGACGCGGCGGCGACGCATCGAAATGGCGCACGCACTGTGTCTGACGGAACGTCAGATTAAAATCTGGTTCCAGAACCGCAGGATGAAACTGAAGAAAGAAATCCAAGCGATCAAAGAACTAAACGAACAAGAAAAGCAGGCGCAGGCACAAAAAGCAGCGGCGGTGGCCGCGCAGGTCGGTCAGGACCCAAACTAGTCGCAATCGCGCAACGACTTCTCCGCTAACGTTCATTTTTCTCACAAATAGACGCATTTTAATTTTCTGTAGCGTTTTGTTCGGTTTGTAGCGCGGTCGTCGAATGAGCGCGCCTCTCTGAATGAACGCACCGCCCGCCGCAATTCTGCTTCGTTTGGGCAACGAAATCAATACCACAAGAACGATAGAAGAGAATATTATTAAAATAAATGAAAATTAAAATGATGGACATTGTTTTTTAATAATTGTATAGCTGTACAAATTATAACCAAATAGTAATGTGATTGACGGATGTTATGTCGTTCACGATAAGACTATATATTTTCTCGATGTATAAACATATATAGTATTATAAATTATATTTAAAGTAAAAACACAAAAGTATAAAGTAGTTCATAAACTATGTGTGCGTCGTGTGGATATTATTGTGTGAGCGGTCCTTTGCCCAAGATAAGGGGATTGGCCATCTCTGGGACGCGTGTGTGGACCGCAACGGAGCCGCCTCCTGTGATCAGAGGTAAGACATTTCGTGATTTTCATCTGCTTCACACACATTGCACTTATGTATACTAATTTTCTATTGTATACCAAGGAATATGCATTTATTTATTTGATAGTAATAATTTAAGCATTTAATAAACTTTTTTGTTATTATTGTTATTATCTCGCAAATATGTTAATTTTCAATTGTCAGTTGTACCAAAGACATTATAATGAATTGATGCCATGTTGGGAAAATGACTCAATAGTTAATTTTTCATTCGATATAAATATTTTAATGATTATATTGAATAACCCTGACTAATATAATATAATATAAATTGATGTAACTATTTTTGTTTTGCAAGTTTATGATCATTTAAATAAATCCATATTTCTTACATAACTTGGTGGTGGTTTTAGATGATCTTAAAACATACAAATTTGTTTATCTCATTATTTTTATAAATTGTTATTGTGATTTAGAATTTATTAATTTTTAACTAAGATAACCATAATTAATAATGTTTTTTCTGTGTACTTATATCACCGGCTTTTTAGTTTTCAATGTTATGCCACTGTAAATGTTAAATACATTATATGTAATAGTATAGGCACGTAAAAACGTTTATAAGGTTTACATCAATAAATTATTGCTCGATCAACTCTTTTGTTTTTGATATTACTGTTTTCATTCTGCTACACGTTTTAATCATAAAACTGTGTGCTACATTATATTATAAAATACTATAATACAAGTCATTTGATACAGCATAAGTGCTCCACTATATTTAACATGAACACGATGAATAGATTTAATTTTCTTATGGTTTTATAATACCAAGTTATAAAGAATACTTCCCCATAAGAAATGAGCACTTGAAAAGCGAGTTTTTTCCTTCTACAAAGAGTGCTGCGATTTTATGGTGCTGAAAACTGAAATATTATTATTTAATGATGCTTTAATCATCACCTTATAAAGTATTACATTACGAGGTTCAGCGATAACTTTTTGCTCACCACGAATAAGTGACCGCGGTCGTGGAATTGGGACACAAAGCAATTCGCTTTCGTGTAATAACAATATTTGATTGAACGCATACCTTCTCTGATCGTGCAGGTTCTCGTGCGTTTTGCGGCACTTGGTTATTTTCGATATAAGGGCGTAGACATGCCAGCGTTCGTTTACACGCCTTCTCGGTGCTGGGTAAACCGCTTGCGGCCGCCGACCGGCCGATAATGAGTGTACCTGCTGGCGCATAGTGGTATTTACCCCCGCGAAGAAAGCACTTGGACCACCTTTTAGGTACTTGTATGTGCTTTTCCTATTATTACTATTAGTGCCGGGGAAGGAATAATGTTGGCTGTATGCAACAAACGCCATTTTAAATTAATAAACACGGCACGCAGATATTTTGTGATAAAATGAACTTTAACGTTCGACTAACAAGAAGAACCTCAGGTTTACTATTCTAGGATTTTGATCAAACTTTTCATTATGATAGAGTTGATAGTCAAACTGAACACCTTAAAATATTATAGGCCTATGAGAATTGGTTTAGTTATAAAAATTAATAAAAGTTTTAAAAAATAGGCCGGCGAATACGTATTTCTACAGTGCTCCATATCTATACGTCTCGGTAGATGTGTGTTTCATACGATGCGCTTCTAATTTTTATGCTCGAATTTCTAGATAAGAGAGTTAAAAATGGTCAGGTTCAAATCCCGTCAGCTCTTAATTTATTTTGTGTTGTTTTTAATTTATTCTTCTGTTAAATATTGCGAAAAATACTTCAAATTTTTCATTGCATATATGTCGCAAACAAAAAATGATATATTTGAAAGAAATCTATAAGTACACATATTATACGTATTTATTCTGATTCTTAGTTATCAATGACAACATCAATAATGGTTTAATAGATTAAGATTTATTAGATTTTACAATATTATTCCAAATTAAATTCGCAATTTTTAAAAGTAATCACAAATTAATCGTACTAACAAGAGAAAGTTTATTAGTATACATAATGATAGGCTAGAGATTTATAGTTAAAAAATCTTCATACGATTGCGTTCCGATTTATGGCACAAGCTCTCATATACACTTGGAAACAACGTAGAAAAATCTGAAGTGCTTAGATACATCAAAATAATTCATATAATAAACGATACTATATATTTTTATCATGTGCATGGGATGCGATATTACATTATCTGAATCTATTTAAATTTTATTTCTTATGAGTCGAGATTATATTTCATTAGAAGTCATTACATTAGGCCACGTTCTATCATGGAAGAGCATATGGAGTGTGTATATAGTGTACGTAGTAAAGCCTAAATTGATCAATAATAAAGTAAACGCCATGATGCATTGCTAGAACAGGTTTATGTTGTTAATATAATCAATGTAATCGACAAAAGCCTTCAACACAACGGCGAGCACCGATACGACGACCTGGGCAAATGCACGACGCACGACGTATAATATAATGGTCTTGTCAAACACTGTGTTTATCTTAGCTTTATCGAAAATCACGCCAAGATCATAGCAAATTGCGTATAGGATAAGCCTCGGCTAACGACGTCCATTTCACATCACCATCGAGCCGATCCTCCTGGTCGTGGTCGTGGTCGTGGCCTCTCTTTCATCGCTTTTTATAGGCACCCATATACCCGACACGGGTCTTTAATAGACTACTCTTAATTATATACACTTACGCCAAATTTTTTAATCTCTTAATCATATCGAGATTTTCAGTTCAGATGATTTCTTAAATTGAGGGTTTTGGGAATGATTTGCTCCAACATTTTTTTTATTTTCAATATGAACTTTTCAACATATGTTACGTAATTTGACAAGTCTTTTACTTTTTGTTGCAGTTTCTCAATCCGAATATTATAGCGGATATAATTCTTGGTAATATCTGACCTTTATAAGTACTATGTATATGTTTAAAATAACACTTGGCAATAAAGTGCTGATATAAAAAAAATAATAGAATTTGTTAAATAAATTAAACAAGTTGGTATAAATGCAAATTAAAATTTTGATATCTATGAACTCCGAGAGATCTTTTAGTTCACCTATGTTATTCATAAAACAAAACTAATTTTTATTATTATTTTGTTTCAACAATTAGATGAAATTATTGTATTTCCATCATTACCTATTTTGAAAATATTACTTTTTGGTTTATTTTATCAAAAATATAAGAATATATGAATTTAATTCTGGATATATAAATTATCCAAGATTTAATTTAACTTAATCGTAATATAACTAATAAAAATATTAATATTATTCGTTGATATTGTTATATTATATAGTTTTAGAGTAAGGTTTATTTCCAAGTTGTATAAAAACGATTTTTTTTTTCAAATGATAATCATATTATTTATTTACTCATCAATCATATCGTTTGCTTACTTATTTTGTAAATGTTTCTTCGTGTAAAATATTTCGAATTTACTTTGTAAACTTAATACATTGTGTTGGAATTTCGATAGAAGAAATATCACTGATTTTGATATTTGGTGTAGGTTTTATTATCAAATAAGTAATTTTTTAATTATATTTCAAACTACATAAAAAACACAATTTGATATAGTGCATAATATTTTATTTCATACATAACTCTTGGATTTTTGTTAAAGGTCAAAGTATAAATATTTAAATAATTGTAATGTTTTATTATATAAAATTATGTATTTCGAATGTAGAAAAATTGTAATAACTCTCCCACAGTGCAACTTTCTATAATTCTCTTACATGGTTTTAAAAACAATTCAAGCTCGTCTAATCTACGTTTGAAAAGTCAAATTTTGTTAGTTATAAAAGCAGTTTTGATACAAAATAAAATAACAACAATCGGCGTTTTTGGATGCGGGATCTTCTAAAAATAGCATTTCATCTATCGTTTGGAAGTTAAGAACATTACGTATTACAACAAATATTTTTTTACCTGTCAAAAACAGGTAAGAAAATTTAAAATGGAACTGATTGGAACATATTTATACTCTATTCAGTTTTATTGTAGAAACGTATTTTCAGATAACTTTTTCTTAATTTTGTAAATTGTAAAAAGAAAATTTAATTTTTGAAGTTTATATTTTATTTATAGGAACATCGAATAGCATATTTGATTTCTCTATTACAAGAAGTGTTATTCTGCCGTTGATTTTATCTCGTTTCTTACAAGTAACATTAATTAAGATACTCGGATGAATCTTTGTTGATAATGTTGCAGAATATTATTTATGATTGCGTTTAGTTATATTAATGGCAGGTCATTGACGATTATCGAGATTCATATCTTAATTTTCTTAATGGTACAAGTATTAAATCTGATAAATGTGCGTGTATATTATTGTGCTAATTGCATCGTGTAAATATTTGTGTTAATATTTGAACACTTTCACCAATACGAATGCATAATAAAATGTCAAATAAATTGTTAATAAATTTGTATAAAAACCGGACATTTTAATTTTAATTTTACATTAATTATATCAGCTATATGTTCTAGTCATCGATTAAATCAACTGAATAAGTTCGTGACGTGCAAAGGAATTTCGAGGTAAAGAATTTAATTAAAATGCGTATAAGTTGAATCGACGCGAACAAAAAGAAAATGGTAATTTATAAGCTTTCATTTTATTAAATATTTTGTATCCAGGAAATTATTC